ATAACTGTGGGGGGTGGGTGGGTGGGTTTGAAATTATCTTGTTCAATAAAGCATAACTGAAATTTAAGGACAGTTTGCTTGGATTTAGACACAGCACGGATCTGGTGTTTAATCAAAACCTGAAGTCAAAGTTTCCAATCGAATTGTAGACATATCAGTGAAGAAGATATGTCACCTTACGCCACCCTGGGTCATTTTAAGAAAAAAGGCAGGGTAAAACTATTTTAAATAAACCAACAAATAATGGGGGAGGGGCATACAAGAGATTGAAACTCAGCTTGTTCTTGCCAGAATTTATAGTTAAGTCCAAAACAAGCCATTGTCTCATTTAACATTTTCTCTCAGTTGCATGCCATGGCAATTCATTTTCTTCACACAGTCTTGTTCTCACCACATCGTTCCAAATATTACCGGTAGTTCTGTCTATGAGTGTTTCAATTTAGTATTAGCTTCACTTACGAAATCTTTCTGACTTCAAACTTTTAGTAGAAATTTTAATTTGAGTTAAATCTGGTACTTAAAATCACCACTGCGCCTATATCTGCCACAAATCTTCCTAGGAGTAGACCCCATAAAACTGAATGGGTTGTAGTACCACATAAATATGCATACAATTGCCATATCAATGTCCCACTCTTATTCAGGAACTCAAAATTCTTCCTGAAAAAAACATATAGGTCCTACAGAAAACAAATTTATTTTAAAGTAGTTAATTCCACTTCTCATTTTTTACCTATTTCATATATTCTTAACCTTATTTGTACCTTACCTCTACTGTCATCATCATGACTGGAAAATCTTCAATTCAGAGCTTTATGAACCTCGATACTTAGCAGAACGCCTTCTCCCACCTAGATCTACTCGAGTCACTCATCGTAGCCAGGAAAGACGGTTGAGGGGCCTAACGCCGAGAAAGGTCCGAAAAGAAAGAACAAGAAATCGGGCCTTCTCAGCAGTGGCCCCTCGACTTTGGAACAGTTTACCATCAGAGATCTGCCTGGCTCCCTCGCTGGGTGTTTTTAAGAGCCAATTAAAGACCTGGCTCTTTAAGCAGGCCTTCCCTCCTATCAATACTTGATTTTTCTTTTTATTTAGTTTTCTTTATTTCTTCCCATCTAGACTAATGTTAATCTTGTTAATTTAAATTGTTGTTTTAACTGTATATATATATTGTTTTATGAATGATTTTATATAAGCCGCCCTGAGTAGACTTTGTCTAGAAGGCTCAGGATAGAAATCTAATAATAAATATTCACAAAGATATACTAACCTTCACTGGCTGAAGTTCCACAGCCCTCAAGGTTCAAGAGTATGCCATCATCTTTGTCATCTCTGGCACCTCCCAAAAGCATCCAGCTCTCCACATTATCACTCTCAGAGACTATACTTGACACATCATCATGTTCATCACTAGAGCTGTCCTCTATGACTAAGATCTTGTGGATCATGCGAATGCCATCACGGTGAAAAGATATGGATTTATGACTAGTCCTCTCCTTTTTTGAAGTTTCTGTAATACCTCTCTTTGTAACCAAGGTAAACCGAGAAGAACCTCGAGATGGTTTTGGTGAGATGAGTTCAGTAGTATCAGGTGGTGCTGGAGATGCTGGTGTCATTAGCTTCTGAAGTTTACTTTTATAAATGCTGTCTTCATCAGGGGTATCAGACAAAGTAATGACATCTGGACTATCTGAAACATGAACAGCATCACTATCTGAAATTACAATGAAGTTATTCTTCTGGTCATGTTTACTGACCGAGACCTGATACTCTGCAGATGCAAGTTTTACTGTTTCTTCCTGTCCAATGACCTCCTCCAAGTCTTGTGCATAATGGACTTGACTATAAAGATGAAATTCAACCTCACTATCAATACTTGTTTCACTGGAAGACTCTTCACAGTAAAGATCATCTTCCATTGCCTCTACGTCATCATATTCCCCAAACATCATGGAAACTATTCTGTATCTAGAGAAAAAACAAAAAGGTAATGAATTATGATAAGCAAACTGGTATGAAAGTGTCATTAAAGCACATGCAGCAACCTTTAAAATAGACAATGCTTCAGTTCACTAACCACAAGCACTATATTATTTACCTGGATGCGAATCCCAATATATTAAACACAGCTGTAGGATTTCTCAAGTGAATGTAGCTTTGACTGCTTCTGGCCTTAACAAACGATTGACTAAACAATCCTTTGCACTAATATTTGCACATCAAAATGTCACTTTTCCACCATTACTAAATTAGATAAAGTTTTCAAGTGAAATTGCCAAATTTCTAGCAGCTTCTTTCAAGAAGAAACAGGAAGCCTGACTCATCTGCACTGGCTTCCCGTTTTGTTCCAGGCCAGATTCAAGGTTTGGAACTATAAAGCTCTTAATGGTTTGGGACTCCACTACTTGTCAAAGCATTTTTTCCCTAGAAATTCAGCTTGCACCACTTGAACCTCACAGGCCTTGCTTTTACACACTGCCATGCTGAGAGAGGCAAAGAAGACTTCTACAAGAAATTAACCCTTCTCAGTTTTGGCACCCTCCTTGTGGAATGGTTTCCCGGTAGAAATTCACCAGACCTCTTCCCTCCCAACTTTCAAGAGCATTTTACTTACCTTGCTTTTCAAAGAAGCTTTCAACAACAGCCTCCCCTGAGCTTTTATGTATTTGAGTCACCTGGTTCCCCTATCTTGTAGGTTTACATACATCTTGATCATTTTGAAAATTTTAATTGAATTGTGTAATGTTTTCTTTGTGGTGTTGGGATATCTCTCTCTTTATTGTTATCCACCCAGAGTAGTGCTTTTCACTAAGTCAGTCAGTATACAAGTATTTGAAATAAATAAATAGCACAAGACTCCATTTTCTTTCAATGGCCTTCTCTCAAGTATCATGAGAAGCCATTCCAAGAAAACTCCGCAATTTTCTTGGTGAAAAGATTAGAACTGAGACATAAAGTGCACTTAAGTCATTTTAGGAATAAGACTTCCTAATTAGTTGCATTTCCCTATTTATTTGACAGATCTTAATAAAAGTTTCTCAAATGTGTTTTTGGTGATTACGTCATAAACTACAGCTACTTTTCCTTGTCTTTCCATTAAAAAAACTTCCTTGCCTATGCAGCTACAAATCACAGTCCCTTTTTTAAAAAGCAAAGAAAAACAGCAAAAATCTGTGCAAACAGAAGAAAATGGTTGGACAATTAATCACAACTAGTTCCACTGGATCTTTCCATACAAGAAACTAGACTAAAAACCCAATACGCAAACATATAAAAGCAATAGCTGTCTACACATTATACCTATGAATACATAGGTTGATAACACAAACCAGCCATTTCTTGACATTATTTCAAGTGTACTGGACAATAAAATAGGGGCAAAATATTCCACTCTGATGCATCCTGAACAAGAAGCTACCTAATTATAATACTACAGTCGACCCTCGACTTACGAACTTAATCCGTATTGGAACAACGTTCGTAAATTGAAAAGTTCGTAAGTCGATTTCCCATTTCCCATAGGAATGCATGAAACCCCTTTAATCTGTTCTGGTCAAATAAAAAAATACAAAATAAAAATAATAAAATAAAATAAAATCAACAAAATAAAAATAATAAAATAAAAAGCAGCAAACACTGCAAGCCCCTGGGCCTGCAAAAAAACAACCAGCCCAATCCCACCCCGCAAAATAAAAAGGACCCGGCTTGTCAGGATGTGCGAATGTAGTCCGATCTTCCGAACTCCTTCACCATTGTTTCCTCTCGGCCGCTGCCACACCCCTGGCCTCCCGGGCCACCCCACCACTGTGACCACCACTACCAGAGACTTCCCCAGCTTTCTACATCGCCGCTGCCGGGCCTGGACCTCCACCGCCACTACCGGGGCTGCTCCCGAGCATGGGGGGGGCAGTAAGGCTGGATTGCCTTTCTTTCCCACCCCGCGGCTTCTCCCGAAGGGCTGCTCCCAATGACTTTTGC